CAAATAATTTAATTTGTTGTAGTAGACAGTTTTTTTGACAGCATAAAATTACAAGTTGATATCAACTTATAAGTAATTATAAGTGATTAGAAACTCCTTAAAATTTCACATTGCCTTTGTGCGTCTAACCGGAGAATTCCTAGTTTTGACGTCAAAAGTGATAGATTTAAATCATTGATTTTTAAACGGTTGGTTCAATTACTAAATTTTAAATGATTCGGGATCTTTATCCAGTCTCGTCAGTGAATTATTGTCTCTGCTCAAACTTGACTGACTATTTCAGTTACAGTTTACAACATTAGAACGTTAAGAAATTCGTCTAGAAATCTGTCATTATTGAGTATACAATTGCTTTTTCATAATGCGACAGTTTTCGATGTTTCTGACGAACACTATTTTTCAATACATACATAATATATATAATTTGAGCTTATTTAAAATCAATAACAGAAACAGATCAAATTCATTTTCTGTTGTATATGTTATTTTACACATTTCGTATATTGAACTAAACTGTTTTTATGTGACGTAAAAGATTAGCTATTTACGTTTAAACTATTTTGAAACATACTCCAAAAACGACTGAAAGTGTTCAGTATGGATCTATTCAGCCAAATTATAGAACAGTGTGTCAATCAAAAGTATTGAAAAAAACTGCTTCATATGACAGACTGGATGGAGTTGGATATCTTTTTAGATTATTATGTTTACTAAGAGATGGGAAGGTTATCGTTTCAATCTTTTATGGGGTTATGTGTGCACATTTTGTGATTTAGACATCGATCGATCTATGGTCTCACTCAAAATCTCAAGAATCTCCACAACCCCTTTACTGTTAATTACCATATGCTCACTGGTGACATGCTCGACGGGTACTTCCCGGAGTTCTAGTGAGAAGCCGTGACAAGTAGAGCTGATTCGTGTCGGGTAGAGATAGGTGACTTACTCGGACAATGGAAGATGATCGTACAATTTCGTGGATTGGTTGAAGTTAGGCATTGAACAGTTGGATGCCAGCGCAGTGGTCTAGAGGTTAAGCATTCATGAGATATTGAATGTCCTGTGTCTGAATCCCTCTTTAGTGATTGTGGATGCACACTGCTGAGGAACCCAGTAATAGGACGAAACAACTCTGCGGTGCTTCCAGGTTTTCACTGATGACCTACTCATGATCTCAATCAAGGACTCAACAATCTCCACAACCCCATTATTGATAATTTAAATTTTAGTCTAGAAATGATTTCTTTTTCTTTTGAGAAAAATGTATTTGTTTGACTATGTCGATAAACCTTGTGTCAAAAAGATTTTCATTTTTCCATTTCAGATTTTATATATCTCCATCTACTTTATTGCCTATATTTTGGGTATGCTTTTAGTTTACATCACTGGTTAGCTTTAGCTAGATAGATATTGGAACCGTGAGAGCACCAGTCAAGTGTTTTGTTATAGAACGGAGCTTCTCGGCACTACCTAATCATAATCATTCCAAGCATTGATACCATGAAGTTCTTTCTTTCCGATGAGTGCTTAAGTATCATATCACTGAGCTGTTAAACAATGGTTTGCTCCCTGTCATTGTCGTGAATGTGAACTGTTGAAAAATTCCATGCTTCGATGTAACAGTTGTCCACTACTCTCTACATCTCAGTGGTTGTCTATCTAAAGTCAGTCAAAAATGTAAATTACAAATTGAACAATCTTCAAAATCCTCTTATACTAAAAGCATATTTGTTACCAAGACACCAAAAATAGAAAATAAGAAACAGTAATTTTTATTCAAGAAATTCATTTTGTTGTTATTTAGCATAATTAATTAGATAAACTCTTCCTATCTATCTGCCCTGTATTATTGATAGTTGAAGATTGACCTTTCTAACAGTCTGTCAAGAAAAACAAAATGTATATTCAATGATATTTGTATTGTATCACTAGGTTTCAAGTAAACTTTGGCGTCTTCACACATAAATTGATTGATGGATTGATTGATTAATATATTGATTGATTGGTTGACTTACTAACTGGTTGTTTATTTAAAATATTTTTTTAAAATTGTAACGTAAATGTTAACATCTGAACTGTCTCCTCTTTTTTTGGTTCTTGATTTATTCATATAAGCCAAAAAAAACCAGGATACGAACGTTCAATATTTGAACTAGCAATAAATTTGATTGAATTAAATCAGTTAGTTACCCCTTCACACTATTAAATGATCTTTTTTTAACGATGCATTTTGTTACAATACCTCTTCAATTTAAATTTCATTTTAGTGAATTTAATCATTATATACATGAATCATATATTATGGATATGGGTTTTTCATTAAAAAAAGTGTAGAATCCTTCTTACTACTTAACATTATTATGTTCAATAAGAAACACTATTATAGTTTTCTTTTCTTCCTGTTTATCCTACAAGTAAGCGTGAGCTATTTACTTTACAATTCATTTATCTTATACGTTGTTTAAGAAGATGAAACTATTGATTGAATCAATTAAACATTTTTATCAATAAGGATAAATGATAGCTAATGAAATATTGAAATTGTTGCCTTGATATTACTTAGTTGCATAATTATCAAAGTAATAAAGAAAATTCATGTTCAACAATTAAGATATTCAGTTAAAATTGACTTTTCATAGTAAATATCTGAAACTGATTTTTTAAAATCATTCTCTAATCATAGCGTCTGTAAGTGATTTATCCATTGATTGTATTGAAATAAATTTCAGCAATATCTTGATTTGACGAAATTTTGAATTGTATACCATTAGATGTCGTCGTAATGTTTTAAAAGTTAAAAGTTCCCCGTGGAGATTATATGTTTCAGATTCCATCTTCAGTGGAGTTGTAGATGACCACTGAGAAGTTTCGTATTACGACGAAATAACTATTCAATAATTTCTGGTTTTCAGCAGTTCTCTAAGTTCAGTCCCTGATGTAAACTAAAATATCTTCTAAATTTTTAAAACCATTCACTGATAAGAAATCCCTGAAATTTAAAGAATTATCTTTTGCTATTCCCTTCACATATAACTGCAGCGTTTGTGAAAAAACCACAGTTGCTCTGTAAGTACGCAAAAGTGCAATTCTAATATTAAATGCATTACATTGGAGTGAGTCCACTGTGTTCTTTGTCTTCAGTCCTGACCTAGTGATGACTAGCTGCGTACGCACTTGTTAGTTCTAGGAATAAATAGATCACATCATGCATTCAATACTACTAGGACTTTGAGGCATCTTAACTACGGTCTTATAAAAAATTGTTATCAGTTAAAAAAACTATTGAGAATTGTGAAGCATCTACCAACTACTTCGCTTTAGTTTGACCCAACATCTAATTTTCTGTCTCACATACCGAAATTTTCAAGCTGAACCACTGAACCATTCCATATCCAGAAGTTCATATGTATTCGACCTAAGTTGATTTCCTTTAAATACCACTGTTCTCGTCCATTGCTAACTGTGAGTTACTGCAATATTTTGAAGTTCTATTTCCAGAAAAACAATTTGGTAAACAATCTATGTTTCTGGATTGTTGCCTCAACTTTAATGAAGATTAAATGAAGTCATTATGAAGTTTGATTCAATAGTCTACTGGTTAAGCGTAAAACCTAAATGTTCTGGATTCAATCAGAAGCGTGATCATGTGTATACACTAATCTGTTGTTGTATACAAAGACAAAGCATGTGTCCCTTGATTCCTGATTTTCAACAATACCTCTACTTAACATCAGACCTTGACGACTACCATACACAAATAATCTACAATCTGATTTATAGAAGAAATTAATTATGAAATCAAGCATATTTACTAAAGAAAACAATATTTATATTTATGTATAGATGTATTCACTTCAACAACAAAAAAAAGAGAAAAACAACCAAACGAACGAGAAAGAAATAAAGAAACAAAATAAAATTAAAAAAAACGGCAAGTGTTTGGGATACATATGAGGATGAACAAATCTGCATTGTTGTTATTGTTATTATTAACTTCGTCATCCTTATCCTCATCATCATAGCCGCTAATAAAAAAGAATTCATTGCGACCAATATTACTAATAGTCATAGTAATCTTCAACGTAACAATTACCATAAGATTACTTGAGTGATATATATAATATCATCATGCGTAGTTCATGTTTATTTGAACATGTTTCACCTTGTGTATGGTTTTTCATTAAGTGTAATATTCTGTAAAATAATATAGAATATGCATGGGTATATCCCCATCATTAATGTATTCATCTGAGCTTCTCTTTAATTGATTCTCGTTGTTCATAGGGTTATATGTCAATTAGGCACATATTAACATTGTATTGTATTCACGTTAGATGATAAGTTTATAAAATTGCTAATATGGTGATCTCTTATTGTCTCCAATTTAAAAGGAGAATATAATACGATAATAGAATAAACTATTTAAAAGTTTACAGGTACACAAATAAAATTAATTGAAAATTGTTCATAGTATACACAAGATATCTTTCAGAAGAGAACGAGAGTGAGAGAGATAGGAGATAAAAAGAAATCACTCTATCATATTCAACTATAATCATTTCTTTTGTATACACATTATTTCCCAATTGTTTTGAATTCAATTCTACTTGATCTCCGAAGTTCACTACTTTCCTCTCTCTTTCTCTCTCCCTACATCTTTCAATATATCAGATACACAACACATAAAGTAAGACAAAATTAAATTACAATAAAAATACTTAGAGAAATGTATCATCACGTTTAGATCTCTTAAAGCACTACACAACATACAGGATTATGTATTGCTTTCTTCTTTCAAAATTTATTAACATACTCTCCAATTGAATGAAATGAAAAGATTTAAAAAATGACTCGTTGAAAAAATTACAAATATTATCTCATATTATTATTATCATTATTAATATAAAATCAATGTAATATCAGTCAAAGAAATTGACAAGTAACATAGGTTAATGTAAATACATACATATACACAGCACACTTACATGATATATATATATATATATATATATATATATATACATGCAAATAATGTATTACAAGAGAACCTAATTGAAACTTACACTTCCATATGAAAATCTTAAGCCAACAACAAAGAAACAAAATGAGTGAATATAGAAGAAACAAACAAAAAAGTAAACAAATAAACAAGTTGTATACATAATCTTCTTATAGCCTTATTGAATGCAGTTCAATTATGTACAATGAATATTCATTCATAAAATTTATTTCTTTCTTCTTTCTATTTTTTTTTAATATTTTGTATTCAATACAAGTTGTATTCATTTCAAAATAAGATTTATGAAATGAATATAGATAAGTAATGAAAGAAAATCCAACTTTCATATTAAATTGAATACTTTCATTTCATTATTATTATTTAAATGATATGATTTATAAATAGTATGAATTATGTAATTTACAATATTATAATCATTTCATCAATTGTACTTTCCTTTTTTCCCCTATCCTTTTCAAAATATTAATTCAATCACCAGTAGTACCACTAATCATGCGTTCTTGTTCAGTAGATGAAGAACATAATAAATTTTTAGATAAATTTGTTATACTATCAACTAAATGTTCATTAGATAATAAAATATCTGGATGGATTTGTTGTTGTTGTTGTTGATTTTGTCGATGATGTTGATGCTGTTGTTGTTGTTGAAGAGAATGCATAGATAATCCTGTACGTGTTGATCGACTTATGTTTGTAATTGAATTTGATCCTGACACTGATACACCAGCTGCCATTGCTGCATTATTAAGTAGATTATTGAATTGTGTAGAGAAAAGTAACGATGAATTTGATGATAGTGCAGATGTTGATGATGTTGAAATTGATCCTGTCAATGTGGATGAACATCCTATTCTATTTCCTCCACCTCCTACATCTCTGTTTGAATTCATATTTGCACCAGCGTATACAGCTGCCGCTGCGGCTGCAGCTACTGCCATTGCTGAAATAGTTGCAGTGGAATCTGATGATGAGTTTGATGATTTACTAATCGACAAATTATTTGGCTGATTTAAAAATGGATTTGAAATAAATGAATTATTGTAATGACATGATGTATTTGTTGCATCATTAGTTGAACATGAATTAAATGTATTTGACATATGTAATAGATTAGATGAATTGTTCATGGTATTACTACTAATATTAGCATGAGTATTCCCAGTTAATGAATTAGTTCTTCGTGAGGTCGATCGTTCTCGATGAGTTTTTTCATTTAATGGACTATTTGTATAATTTGATTTAGTGGTTATACAAGGATTTGTTGGTACGTACTGATTTGATCCAATACTGTTATTATTAGTGCCAGCATTTGATGTTGGGGATGGAGGTGAAGAAGCTGATGATGATGATGCTCCACCACCACCACCTCCTCCGCTACCTCCACTGGGTGTCGTAGCGTTGCAATTTTCACTGGTGACTGTTTTAAAAACTCCTGATTGGAGAACAAGTCGGCCTTGCATTAATGGTTTAACATAACGTCGTCGAGCATTAATAAACCAATTATTTACTGTTGTACGTGATAATCCTGTTTCCATAGCAAGCATCATTTTTTCTTCTTCTGAAGGATATGGTTCTCTCAAATGATCAACTAACCAACCGAATAGACGTTTCCGTGCTGGAAATGGTAGATTAGTTCTAGACAACCCAACAGCTCGTCGAATACTAAATAATGCACCCGATCCAACGCCACTACCACTAGGTGATGATGACGAAGATGAAGGCGTTGTTGTTGTTGAAATTGGTGTTGATGATGTAGTCATTAATGCAGTAGTTGTATTATTATTGACTGATAAATTTATTGATGAATTTTCATCAGATTCTGTTGAATTTGAGTCGCCCATATTATTATTATTATTATTAATTCCAGCGTTATTATTGTTTATCAATGATTCAGTGAAATTTCGATGGTAGTGTGGATGATGATGATTCCGTTTTTGATCATGATTCATGGTAGAACTAGGTGATGGATTTGTTCGACTAGCCCTTCCACTACTAATACTACTATTACTTCCAATCCCTACTTTGGTATTATTCGCATTATTACTATTAATGTTATTGTTGGCATTCATTATATTCCCAATGAAATTATGATTACATGATTTATTTAAAAATTTCAATTCATTATTTGTATGAAGATGAGCAGTGTTGATCTCTTTGTTTGGTGATTGGCCATGTTTCATTGATTCTAATAGATCTAAAGTATTTAAAACATTTTAAAAAAATGAAAGAGCAGTAAACAAAAACTCATTGAAATATTTATTAATTTACTTAAATCAGTTGGAGTTGCAACTGTACTGTTGGACGTTAATGAAGTGGCTTTTAATAGTCAAACATTCACTCCGAAATTCAAATATTCTAGGTTGAGAGTGAGTTTATTAGATTGCGACAGATCTCCTGTAGAACTAAGCAGGAAATTTAAGCTCATGTCGTCTTACCTACACCTGGCATCCTAACATAGTGCACAAGATGTCAAGTCATTTATACAATTGGTAGAATTACAATTTGATCGAAAGAACTTGATCAGTATGAAAAGGATTAGAGAAAAACACAATTGGTTACCACTAAGTGGTCATAAAGTAAAAATCAAGGTATTGTTAAAATCTATAAATTCATTAATTTCATTCTCAATAATTAAACTTATTACTATATACATAAAAAATGGGATTGAATCAATCTTAGGGACTTGGTATACTCAAACTTTGTCTTCACTATTTTACAGTTTTTATTAGGATAGAAACTGGTGATGTTTGCTAAATTTTATGGTTTACACTACAAACTGACTTAAATTGAACAATTATTGAAAACCAAGAAACATTTGAAACATTTGGATTGAATGATCCATTGCTGAAAGTTTGATCTTTAACGAACCCACACACCGTTTTTTCCGAATGAATAAAATTAATGTTTAACATTGCCTCCTAAGAGACTTATTAATTTCAATAGTTGCGATCATGAATCAATTGAAGCTAGACCACCATAGAAAACCTGGAAACACTGGATGGCCGTTTCGTCTTAGTATGGGACTCCTCAGCAGTGTGCATCCATGGTCCTGCCCCCCACGAAATTCGAATCCCAGGACCTATCAGTCTCGAGCGCGAGCGCCTAATCAATAGACCACTGAGCCGGAATCCAACGATGTTAATGTTTAACTTCAACCAATCGACGAAATTAAGCTACACATCCACCAAAATAGGACGAAACGGCAGTCCAGTTCTTCCAGGTATTCCATGATGACCTAGCTTCAATTGACTCATGATTTCAACTATTAATAATGAATTGTAATTTTAGAAAATTCATGATATATCGTGTTTAATTATTGGCTATTATCATTTCGTTACTGATCAAATACTAATAATCAATTCATCTTATAACATAGTTCATTCAAGATCAATTTTCCAATTGTTTATATTCTATCATAAATATACTAGAGAAAATCTTGTTTTCTCGTACCTACATTTCTTTAATGTTTTTTATACCTTTTAAATATTATTCAATATTTATTAAAATAAATCTTATAAATAATTCATTGTAAACAATATCAAATAACAACAAACAATAATAATCATATTTATAGTGTGAAAAATAGACATTTTTTTGCAAGTTTTAACACTATTTGTTTATCATCATCATCATCATCAATATATTTTTAAAAAGTGTCATTCTATTTTACCCCTCCATTTTATACATCAAATTACTGATTGATTGACTAAACAACTGACTAGCTGAACAATGTAAACAACTTAACTCTGTCAGTCAGTAAATAATCTAACCTACTTATATATATATATATATATATATATATATATATATATATATATATATCCCTTATGACAGACAGATACTTTTATTAGTATAGATTATTGAAAATAGTTTTGGGTGGCATCTCTTAGTTCAATATTCATAGACAATTATTTTTTTAAGGACATTTGGCAGGCAGATAGGCAGGTAGGCAGCTGTCTGAACTTTGCTGAGTTGTATACACATTTACATATACGTACATATTATAGTCAGCATGGGGATTTTATAAATGATTTTTAACGACATTTTTGATTGACAGGAAAAATATTATCCCTTCAGTGAATATGTATGTACTTACATGTGTAATTGATAGACACACTAACTTAAATGACTGACTGATTGATTGATAGAGATGAATAATTTGTACATGAGTTTGTATGTATGTATTTGTGTATGTGCTCATTCGTTTTAAAAAATGGATATAATAACGTACATCCATGAGAAATATGGTCATGCATTCTGTTTAACTTTTATAAGGTGGTGGAATACCCTGTTTCTCTCTCACAATCTTATGTCTTTCACACTCACATTATATCGTTCTGTGAAGAAGGAAATGAGAGAGGACAACAAATAGAAGGAACATTGGATGAATAAATAAGTAAATGGATGAATGATTGATCGACTGATTTTGACTGAATGGGATAGTAAAAGCTAAAAGTGACTAGCTCACTACAACCACGTATATATATATATATATATATATATATATATATATATATATATATATATATATATATATATATATATATATATATTTTAATACAATTTAGTATATCATTTAACAAAAAAGAATGAAAAATCATTGGATTAACAAGATAACGTAAGACAGAACACAAATTACAACACATTGAGAAGAATAGTTAGTAGCACGAACATGATGACAATAATGATAGTAGTTGTAATCCTGTCACTATTGGTATTATTATTGTTACTATTAATGATAACAGAAACATTAAAACAGAATAGAAGAACAATAGTAGCAATAAATACTAATCAAAAGTGAAACAAAAACCAAAAGAAAACAGAAAATAATGTGATATATTTTATTAGGAAATGAATGAAAGAAACCAACAGAGTTATTGAATAGATAGATAGTTAATGTTACAAGTGATCCAATCTATTTATCTATCTATCTATCTATCCATCAATCTATTATGTACAAGTGTATATACATGCATATGAGTGTATCTGTATTGTTTCTATAATTTGCAGTAAGAAAATTATTCACATATTCAGACATATACATGTACACATACATATAAAGTAACAGTTGATTGACATATCTCTGACATGAAAAGTCATTGATGTAGTCAGGTTTTCATAGAAAGCGTAACAAAACAACAAAACACACAAAAACAAACAATTATCTAACACTACAAAACAAATGAAATACAACATTGTATTACATGTACACTTACAAATAGAGAAAAAAAATTGTAAGGAGAGAATTACGAATAATTATAGCTGGGAGAAATTTCTATCATGTTCATTTTCAAATTGTAACTAACAAATATTGATACATTAAATATAAAAGATTTACATATTACTATGTATATTTGTTTGTATGTGTTTGTTTTTTTAAACAACAGAGGAAATTTACAGGTTGATACACAATTTAGTCATTATTTAATAATTAAGTAACATGACAAAAATAACTACCACAAAATTAATGCTAATTGTTATTTACATTATACAATAATCAATATCAATAGTTGAAATCATGAATCAATTGAAGCTAGACCACCATGGAAAACCTGGAAGCACTGGACGGCCGTTTCGTCCTAGTATGGGACTCCTCAGCAGTGCGCATCCACGATCCCGCACCCCGCGGGATTCGAACCCAGGACCTATCAGTCTCGCGCCAGGCGCTTAACCAACTAGACCACTGAGCCGGCATCCAACGGTGTTAATGTCTAACTCCAACTAATCCACGAAGTTGCGCCACCGTCACCATTGTCTTCAGTGAGCTGATATCTCACAACAGACCTGGTTGAACTCCACTGATCACGGCTTCTCACTAGAACTCCAGGAGTGGTCTAGCTTCAATTGATTCATGATTTCAACTATTGAAATTACCAATTCTCCACAAAACCTATTCTAGTAATAATCAATATGTTAAATAAAGAGACAGAATACACTACTCGTCAAGAGTACAAGTAGTTTAAAATGAAATTAATCACTTTGATTTGATTATCTATCCTTTCTGTAATCTATTAACGGGGGAACACTTATGAGAAGCATTCATCAACAATAAACATAGTTGTCTAATGATTTATGGTTTTGAATAATTCTCTGGTTAATAACAACTAGTAATGAGAAATAAATTCAGCTTATAACAAAATTCTTACAAAAGAATCTAAAATTTAATTCAAAATAGATTTATTATTTAAAATTCATAAGTAATCATAACACGCTTAGAAAATCGTTACATTAATATTTGAATAGTATCAGTAATACTTTATGTATCATCAACTCATTGACCATTGGAAATATTCAATTATCAATATAAACGAAATAACTATTTCATTTATTAGATTATCATTAAGAATAGTGTAGTTTAAATAAACTGTGCAGAAAATGATGAAAAAATCAGATCTGAATTTGAATTTCAAGCACTAATCATTAATTGATTATAGTTGAATTCATGAGTCAATTGAAGCTAGACCATCATGGAAAACCTCCTGAAGAGTCCCATACTAGGAAGAAATGGCCGCCTGATGCTTGCAGGTTTTCTATAGTGGTCTAGCTTCAGGTAACTCATGAACTCAACTATAAAGCTACTAAAATCTACACAAAACTCTTCTGATTTATTGACTACTTTGTATTACACAATTATTAGTTATTTACTTAAAATTATTATTATCATCTTATCCAATTAAACTTTTGAATATGGATCTTAATTTCAACAAAAAATTGAGATAAATATTAATTAAAAGTACTTGATAGAACAAGCTGGCTGTGCTTTTTTAGAAACTAGGAAAGAAGAATATAAGGATTTGAGGAGATTGTAGTATTTCGCAGTTGAATTCACGATAGCTGTTCAATGCCTTTATGTTTTCATTGATGGTTTAGATTAGATCGACTCATGAATTCGACTGTGAAGAAGTACAATATAAGGATGAAAAGAATTGAACGAACAAAAATATTCATTCGAACGAAATCATTTACTAAAGTTGTACAGTTGCATTTACTGTAGTTTAATAAAATGCATAAGTCTATGAAGGAAGAAGTAAATCAGAGACTACATGTGTGATATCATAGGTATTCATTAATAAACCAACATTTTACATGTATATGAATTTCGGTAATTACCTGACTTATTACGTACTACGCAATGATAACAATAATAATTAACTTTTCTAACTAAAAAATAACATAGAGCAAATGATTTTCCTA